AAAAATACAATACATTTAAAGGTCTGTGCACACTATATAGACTCCTTCCTAAACCTTACGCATAGTCCGAATTATCATGTAATATGGTACCTTAACACGAAACCGAGTGTTTAGGTATATAACTAAGTGGTCGTGCTTACTAGCGTTAATAAACTTGCCTCCTATGGATAGCTCCCTAACACCTGCCAAATGAATTCGCGTCTTGGTATGTGTTATTGGAGTGACTATGGCAATACGGTCGGGGCTTGCAACATGAAAGTCCTCTAGGCTATCTCCGGTACGGACAACTCGTGGCCCTTTCTCGATGGGATAAACTTATAACCCTTAATCTCGTATAATATCATTAATAGAAGAATCCTATTCTAGTTAGTTTAGCGCTACTATTAAATAACGTGTTTTCCTACTATTTCCAAGAGTAAATCTATGTATCTTCTAATTTACACTATCTTATCGTAGACCTATAACTATTAACCCCGCTCGTCTACGTTTTTTATAGCGTGTAAAGAAGCTAAGCTATTAATAATACTATCTAGGAGGCTTTAGGGCAGTTTAAGCTCCAGGACTTTATAGAGATTATCTTAGGCTATCGTGTTTGTTTCGTTACGTATTTACAAGAACTTATCGCGGGAAAAACTAGCCTTTATACCTACGTAGAATAATAGATCTAAGCAATGTATACCTAGGAAAACAGGCGCTATAACTTATTAAACTTATCTTTAAAACTAGGCCCACCCGCCAAGTCATTAACAAGTTAGGTAATATTAGCTATAGCCGCGGTTAAACAACGCATTAATAGAAAACCGTTAATAATTAAAATAATGCTATAGTAATATTCTATAATACGTAACACGAAAAGAGTAACGTGTACTCTTAGCCCTAAATATATCTATCCCTTATATCTTAAACTTTAATGTCCTAAATTATCTCCTACCTATTCCCCGCACCCACGTTACCTTATTCTCGTTTAAAAGTGGTAATAAGGTGTTATACGCGTCTATACCTTTAAGTTTATCGCCTTTTTTATAATTCGTTGCATTTATCTCACTTCTATTATTAGCTAGAGACAAAGAGGGGTTAAAATTACTTAGTCTTATAGCTTTCTGCTTATTAGATTCGTCTTTAATTTAGACTAAATATTCCTCTTTATTTTATAAGCCCTAGGAAATAGTTAGACTTAAATTACATTAGTAATAGTATTTAGTAAAGAATGTTTAAAGTATAATTATATAGGTTTTAAATGTTATAATATTATACTACGAAATAATACTAATGCTAACTTAGGTTAAAGTATTAGATAAGCTAGTTAGGGAATTAGTCTAAGACTTACTTATAAACTCTAATATGCTACTTTAATCTACTATTAGTAAAGGGCTAAAAGAATCTATAAGCCTACCTGTATCCACGAGATTTACATTATAAGATAGTAAAGTTAAAGACGCTCTATAATTCGTTAATAATAGTAATACACTAGTAAGCATATATTCTTACCTAATAGGTAATGCTAAAGGTTTAACTACTTCCTTATAGAATATACCTAATAGCTGTAAAGTATTCGCCTTATTAGATTAAATTAGCGGTATAAGGTAAGTGCTTATAGCTAGGTAAGGTATTAGGGAAATACGTTACCTTTTCTTATTAGTAACTTATTCGCTTTATAACAAATTTATGCTACTATACTCTTCTTTACCGTTCTTTAACCTAAAGGTATTATAACTACGTATAATTGGAATAGTTATAAAGAATAACTATAAGTTAAATTAAACTAATAAGAAGTTCTATTTCTATAAAACTCATCGCTTAAACGAAGATAATTGGATATTATATACGAAATACCTCTTATCTCTTCCCTTAAATATTCTTTATAAATTAATTTTAAGATAAAGGTTTACTTATCTTAATAGTTTTAAATTACGATTAATCAGCTCACCCCCTTTCTAATGTAAACCAATAGCTTTCTATAAGCCACATCACATTAAATGTGGTAACCCACATGTATGGGAATAATCTGCATTCTACGTATTACCTAAAAGCAGTTAGGGAAGCCTTATGCATACCCGGGTCACCAAACTGTTAACGGATCCCCCGGCTGACCCCGTTCCGAAAACACTAATAAGCCAACATATATTCCAACTCTGCAGGTCAATTGAGGACGTTCCTCTTCGAGATGATTGTCTGAAGGCTTCGTTATACTTCAGTTCCGAAAATGATTGATCAGCATCCTGTTTCGAGGCAAACCAGCAACTCTTCTGCAAGCCGCATCATAATTGGAACAATGCTTCTACAAGATGATTTCCAAGTCAGATACGGCCGTCAAATCATGGCTGTAATCTTATGCATGTAATTTTCCGAGGAGACTTGTTCACAGCCGATTTCATGCAATTATCAATGGATACGGGGAAGGCAGATAAAAGATGCAGCGCCACTGCAGGTTTGCGAAGTGGCTGTGTATGTCAGTTTCAATGTATGTTTCAATTACTAAGCTAATAAGAAGACATATTGCATGTGACAGGCTTAAGGCCGCCTACTCACGAGTCCACGCCATTGCCTGTAGGAAAAACGATATGAGATATTTTTGTACAGCCTCCCCGCAATTTATTTTTTTCAAAGTTCAAGTTCAAAAATCTACAATCTGACTGCAACTTCTGTTTTCCGAGTAACCGTGCCCGATGAAGCGAAGTTACACTGCAAATGACCTGCGCAGCAAGGCCGAAAGTGCTCGTCGGAGGGCGGAAGCAGCCCAAAGAATTGCGCAACACGAGTTGCAGGTGGCAGAGGAGGCAGAAGCAGTAGCGGAGCAGAACGAAGAGAAGGTTCGCAAGAATACTCTAAAAAAGCTGCGCTCAGGAACGCGGGACCGCAATGCAATTGACTGCGCCGTGGAAACGATCAATATGAGATATTCAGCGAATTCGACGTTTTCTCGCTTGGACGTGAAGACTTTCACTCTTCTAGTTGAACGCATCAATATTCGAACGCTGCGCCACTTCTGCGATCGCGGTATTGCTGATGAAGTCCTGCAAGCGACACAAAAAATGATGCTGCCAGAGCCATTTTGGCTGGACTACCACGCTAGTATCAAAAGTTCTGATCATAATTTAAGCAAACTATATTGGATGGGTGCGTTTAAGTAAGATTCGAGCCTCAAGACCTGTGATGTGTGCTAACTACGAGGAAGAGATCACTGATTATCTGTATCCACCGATAGCAGCCAGTCTAACCCAGCAAGACGTGTTATACTCTATCGCATACGTCTACAAAACCCAACTCAATAAGTATTTCAAACCGCCATTTGTGAAGCGAATGGAGGCGTTATACACATGGGGTGGGGATAAAACAACTTCTTGCGTGAGAGCCCATATCCGCCCAGAAGGGGTTGACTTCGAGGTGGATCTGGGAGTTGTTAACTTGGAGCCGGGGTCTTCGGATATCCTTCAAGACCATGTCGCCTCCTATGAGGGAGTTCGCATCGAAACGATAAAAGTCAACCAGCTAAGGGTATACGTGCCATCCGACTTAGGAACGATCATGGTAAATGACCTCTCATTTCCGCAAATTAAACGAATCTGACCGTCATCTCAAAAACCCGCACACTCTGTCCAGCCGGCACTCTTTCTCGACCCACGCTATCCAGTCTATCGTCTTCGATAGTGTTACCTCCTATCATAATCTTGCCCCGGTTATGATATGGTCGTGGTTGCCACTCCAATGTTGAGTCGTGGTCCATACCCGGAAATGTTTCAACTGCGATAGCCTGGTAACATCCATCAAGAGCTTTCCCTTCCGACATGGTCCTAGTGTCGTTAGAACATAAGTTAAATGACTGCCGCCTAAGATGGAGAGCTTGCCTACACATTTACCGCGCAACTGAGATCTAGAGAATCGTGACTGCGTTGTATTTGAACTGCGTGATGCCAAAAACAATAGCTGGATCGCTAATCCCATAGTTGTCAGAATATATGTCAGGGACTGCCAGAGGGGTATATCTCACATCGAAATCAAGTCCCAAGCTGCTCAAGTCAGTACATCAAGGGTTGGGCGCGAATGCATCGTCACATGCACAGCTTTTCTTTGAACACGAATATGTGGGGCCAAAACTGAGCCACGTGATTAACCGTCATGACATCATCTGCCCCACCCCTCACTGGCTAAAATGCAATATGCATTATGCGTGAAAGGCTCCAACGGTCTTTTGCTGGGTTTCCATGAGGCGAAGGAGCATAGCCTGAGGAATTTGAGCCTTGCCGTGAAAATGCACATGGAGTCAGCTCAGATTCAGCCCATTTGAGGACGAGACTATTCGACCTAGTCACTCAGCACACCTCGCCACAATGTCTGCACGCTTGAGGCGAGTTCATGCCAGTCCTCCTGCACAACGGGCTCTTCACGGACCTCAAGTTCGAATTCATCTGCAACACTTGTACGCCGCCGCGAAGGAATCGAACTGCTGCCCGCCCACTGCGTACAACTCCTCTGGAGAGCGGTGTGGATGAGACATCATCAATTTGACACGGCAGAAGTCGTTAAACTGGGGAGAAGCCTCTGTGGACCTGTATCGAGGGAAGTAAGAGAGGACCCTCTTCTTCGCCTGGGCAGCGAATCTCCTCCACGTCTTGACGTCGAGGTAGGTTACATCCTCATATTGCTTATTTCTCTCGAGATACTTCATGTAGTTGCTAATGGTCTCATTAATATCTTCGTCAACGCGATACGAACGCGCATGTTGCTCCAACGGACGGCAGTCCACAGAGACCACCATCCGCGTGCCTTCCTGCACAGGGATGTTAAGCAGCAGATGGCAAATCTCCTGCGCCAAGTAATCCCTCTCGGTAATCAGCTTATTCGTAAGGCGAGAGGAGAAGGATAATAGGGGCTGAAGATGCGCGGTGTCAAACCCGGTCTGTAAGCTTACAGTAGGGCTCCGTCTTCTCAGCATACGTAATAACTGCCAGTAAGCTGGTGCAAGGGGATATGTCGATATTAACTAGCCAGCCTAAGATAATGGCTGGATTGAAGTGGTTCATGAGGTTGTCGTTCCGGGCCGCCTCGAAGACGTAGTACGACTTGCCTTCATTCCTGATGATTGCGGCCAGCTCCCGCAAAGCACGAGAGAAGTCAAAACTACTCTCCTTGTCTGGATTGACCACATTGGCAGTTCTAGTGGTATGAAGCTTGTGTGGTGTAAAAACTACCCTGAACCGTAATCTCCATCCCAATTAGGCAGGACTTATCATACTTCCGTCCCCCAAAACGGTTGGTTGACAAACGCTCAGGCTGTCAATTGCGCCCGCTCCACGGAAATCGCACTGGAACTGTTTCCTTGCGAAAATGGATCTTCTAAGATGACTCTCGCTCACAATCGTGTTCTCATACTCAGCCATGGACCTCGCTACGAAAACAGTATTCCGGGTCTACTAATGGTGAGAATGCGTTCGAGAACGGGGAAATTATGAACAAACCTCGCGGCCATTCAGATCTATATCCGCTAAACTATCAATTAATTTTTAGCAATCCGGTGTCCCACTCTTAGTTATTGTCTGCTCTAAGAAATACTACCATACTGCCTTACATGTATCTTTTCCCAGTGGCTTATAATGTAAGGTAAGGTGAATCCTGCTAATTATCGCTTCGTCGAAGGACTGCACTCGGCTGGTTATAAGGAAAAGAATGCCATTATACTACTCTAATTCACGCAAGAATATAAAGACGAGAGCGTTAGCATGTGAGCTGTTAGAGTATTAAGCTAAAAACACATTCACCTTATCTAAAAGTAGAATAGCTTTCTAGTAGCTTATAATCTTAAAGATCCTCGTTAAAACCTCTCCACACCTACTACATCCACACCGATCTGCGCTGCTAGGATCGTATAAAGTGGTCTCTTATAGGACTCTGTGATTGTTTCGGCCGTTAAAGTCTTTCTAACACTAGAAGGCCCGCTATTTTTAAGTATTAGTTATACGTTTATAAGCAATTCTAGGGTTCATAAACTAAAGCAAGAAATTAATGCCTCGCCCTTTCCCTAGTATAAGGTCTTCAAAGGCGCTAGTTTTATTACGACTTAAGAAGGTCTTTGTAAGAGCCCAGATAGGTTTCTTTTACTGCTCTAGCATCTTAACATCTTTATAGGACGACGGACTCTAAGAGATGTTAGAGATGTAGGTAACCGTAAACTCAACTATACCTACCTATTAGTAAATCGATATTATAGAGAAGGGTTACCATTAACGAAATGCTTTAATCCTAAGGCAGAACCCTAGAACTATTAGGCTATAAATAAGAAAGTTAAATTCCTTTAGTTAAGCCTTATTAAGATATCTAAGGCTAGCCGTTTCACCTGGTCCTATATCTAAGAGTCTTAGTCTCACGTTACGGACGCGCGGCATTAGATGGTTTGGATTTTATTCCTAAAAACAGATAGCGTCTACTATAATGCGCCCTTTAACGTAACGTTTCATAATTTCCCCTTCCTTATCCACGTAGAAAGCCATTTATACGTACTAACAATAATAAGCTCTAATTAGCGAGATAAATCGGCGGCCGCACTAGGTTAATTCTCGCGTAACCCTTTCGCGATTTAGATGGTATTGCAAAGGATACACTAAAAGAAGCTTAATTCTCTTAGCACCTCGGAAAAATAGGATCCTACTTTTATTGGATGCCTCGCCGAGGAACTTACCATTCGTACTCAGGAGGCGAGTCTCCAGGTGCATAAACTTGGACCCGTCTATTTCCTGCATCTCTTCGCAATGGTTGTATAGTACACAGCTAGGAGCATCGGTTCCGGGACAGATCGTGTAGCTCGAAGAGGGCCCACAGTAAGTCATACGTGATCTCATCTTTCACGAAAAGACCCAATATACCGATTACGATAGCTTTAATGAATCTATCGAGCGATTTTGATTGATGCCGATCGATTAGATTATTGATAATTCTACTCATTGGGCAGTGGCCGCCGGGCCCCGGAAAATCCGACGATAGCTGCAAAGTTGCCTGCAAATTAGCTGCATTAACAGATACCCAGTTTTTAGGCCGGGCCTTACACTGCCTAGTAGGGCCTCGAGCTCGCAGCATCTATCAAATGATTCCTGTAGTAGCTATCAAATTGATAGCTAGCTTCGTTAGCTGTTTGACCATGCCATCCGGCCAGGCCGTGTCTAGATCAAATTGCTGCCTCGGCAATGGAGGAGGCAATTGGCATCCAGGATTGAAGGTGCAGTAGGATTCAGACGGTGACCCGGACAAGTGGAAGCGGTATATAAGGCCGTGGTAGACCAGCATCAACTCTTGATTGCACCTCTTGGCTCAGGCTAGAGCGTCGTCTCGTCTTTCAGGCAGTTCCAACACCAAGCGGTGAAGGCATCATGATTATGCCGCTGAATCTTCCAGGAGAGGACCGGTTAGTCTCCTATTATTGATAGGAATGTGGTATCTTACCGAGCCATGTTTTTTGTAGGCCAGATCAATATCTCTGATTCCGGGCTGCAATCCATACACCCTCAACGCAGCCACGAGTTCGTCAGCATTGCTTGAAGGCACCAAGACTGGTCCTGTATATTCGCCTTGAATTCTGACGTGGGTGACGGCATGTTGACTGCAGAAGGGTCGCTCATAGAGTGGACTGATCAAAGTGGCGACGTAGGTGTTCCCATTGCACGTCTCGGCTTAGTTGAATTGCATAGCAGCGCTGTTCTTGACATTGATGATGCGTGAACTTAGCGGATGGCCCACCAAAACCTGTCAAAAATCTCTTCAGGCCCTCTGGGAGCCATTACCTCTTTTGGGAAGGCGTCGCATAGTAAACACACCTAGTAGGCTAAAGTGCCTGTCAGAATAGGTCACTTGTTACGGGTACAAATTACGTACGCATAATTAAATAAGGGTAAACCCTTAACTACAAGTAAATAACCCTAATAATAAGTGTACTTATAAAAAGAGTATATATAATTCTCTCTTTTATAATTAAATATAAACTTATATATATATATTATTATTATAATTAATACTCTTTAAAGTATAATAATTATAAGCTTAAGAGAACTTTAAATTTCTTATAACTTTTACTTAAGAAAATTAAGTATTTAAGGTATTATTTTAAT